CATGGCCCCCAATCCGCCCCGGAATGCGGGCGAGGGACTCGGGCAGTGCCCTGTTGGCAAAGCCCTGGGTGGTGGGATGAGAGGGAGGGTCTTCACAGGATCACAGGGTACAAGTTGGAAGGGACCCAAGAGAACCATCGAGTCCAATCCCTGCCCAGGACACCCCAAAAATCCCACCCTGTGCCTGAGAGCGCTCTAAAATCATGGAATCATGGAATTCCTTGGATTAAAACCACTGATTGTCCAGGACTAAGATTGATCCAGCCACCCCCAGGCTCAACCACACCTCTGGAATTCCTTGGATTTAAAACCATTGATAGTCTGGGACTAAGATTGATCCAGCCACCCCCCCAGGCTCCTCTTGGAGAAGAATTTAGAAACCCCAAGGGCTTGGGGGTCTTGGGAGTCAACGGGACCTTCTCCACCCAACCCAACCTGAAGGTCCCAACTCATGACAACCCCGAGGACCCACCTTGACCTTCTCCACCCAACCCAACCTGAAGGTCCCAATCTGTGACAACCCCCCGAGGATCCACCTTGACCTTCTCCATCCGAACCAGCCTGAAAGTCCCAATCTGTGACAACCCCCCAGGACCCATCTTGACCTTCTTGACCCCAACCCAACCTGAAGGTCCCAACCTGTGACAACCCCCCCCAGAACCCACCTTGACCTTCTCTACCCAACCCAACCTGAAGGTCCCGACTCGTGACAACCCCCCAGGACCCACCTTGACCTTCTCCACCCAACCCAACCTGAAAGTCCCAATCCATGACAACTCCCCCAGGACCTACCTTGACCTTCTCAACCCAACCCAACCTGAAGGTCCCAATCTGTGACAACCCTTCCAGAACCCACCTTGACCTTCTCCATCCAACCCAACCTGAAGGTCCCAACCTGTGACAATCCTTCCAGGACCCACCTTGACCTTCTCCACCCAACCCAACCTGAAGGTCCCAACCTGTGACAACCCTTCCAGGACCCACCTTGACCTTCTCCACCCAACCCAACCTGAAGGTCCCAATCCATGACAACTCCCCAGGACCCACCTTGACCTTCTCGGCCCAGGGGTTGAGGCGCTTCCAGAGCAGCCACCAGCCGGACAGGCTGTCTCCGTAGTTGCACAGGTCGGTCTCGTCCTGGCTGCCCACGTCAATGGCGATCACCGTCTTGGCCCCCATGTTGCGCGCGATGTCGGCTGCGGGACAACGGGGAGGGACCGGGAGCTCAGCGGGGCTGGGGATGCCCCCACTGCGAGCCCCTGGGGAGGGGGGTGGTGGCACAGGGGATGTGGGGGAGGTGTGGCACAGGGATGTGTCCTGGGGGTGACAGAGCAGGGGTGGGACCTCGGGAACATGCGGGGGGGCAACGGGGAGCGCAGGCAAGCGGCAGCTTCTGGGGGGGGATGTGGAGGATGGAGGTGGTCCAGGAGGGTGTCCTGGGTGAGGACACCAGGAGGTGATGGAGGAAGGCTGTTGGAATGGTCCAGGAGGGTGCCCTGGGTCAGGACACCAGGAGGTGATGGAGGAAGGTTGTTGGAATGGTCCAGGAGGGTGCCCTGGGTCAGGACACCAGGAGGTGATGGAGGAAGGTTGTTGGAATGGTCCAGGAGGGTGCCCTGGGTCAGGACACCAGGAGGTGATGGAGGAAGGTTGTTGGCACATGAAGGAGGGTGGAGATGTTCCAGGAGGACATCGGGTGCTGTGGACATCCAGGGATGATGATGAAGGATGGAGGAAGGTTGTTGGCACATGAAGGAGGGTGGAGATGCTACAGGAGGACATCAGGTGCTAAGGACATCAAGGGATGATGATGAAGGATGGAGGAAGGTTGTTTGCACGTGAAGGAGGGTGGAGATGTTCCAGGAGGACATCGGGTGCTGTGGACATCCAGGGATGATGATGAAGGACGGAGGAAGGTTGTTGGCACATGAAGGAGGGTGGAGATGCTCCAGGAGGATATCAGGTGCTGAGGACATCAAGGGATGACGATGATGAAGGATGGAGGAAGGTTGTTGGCACATGAAGGAGGGTGGAGATGCTCCAGGACATCGGGTGCTGAGGACATCAAGGGATGATGACGATGATGAAGGATGGAGGAAGGTTGTTTGCACGCGGAGGAGGATGGAGATGCTCCAGGAGGACTTCCAGGGTGAGGACACCAGGAGGTGATGCCGAGTGGTTGGAGGCAGCTCACACAGAGAAGAGGATGGAGAAGGATGGAGATGCTCCAGAAGGAGGTCTGGTGCTGAGGACATCAAGGGATGATGATGATGAAGGATGGAGGAAGGTTGTTTGCACGTGAAGGAGGGTGGAGATGTTCCAGGAGGACATCGGGTGCTGTGGACATCCAGGGATGATGATGAAGGACGGAGGAAGGTTGTTGGCACATGAAGGAGGGTGGAGATGCTCCAGGAGGATATCAGGTGCTGAGGACATCAAGGGATGACGATGATGAAGGATGGAGGAAGGTTGTTGGCACATGAAGGAGGGTGGAGATGCTCCAGGACATCGGGTGCTGAGGACATCAAGGGATGATGACGATGATGAAGGATGGAGGAAGGTTGTTTCCATGTGATGGAGGGTGGAGATGCTCCAGGAGGACATTGGGTGCTGAGGACATCACGGGATGATGATGATGATGATGGAGGAAGGTTTTTTCCATGTGAAGGAGGGTGGAGATACTCCAGGAGAACATCCAGTGACACCAGGAGACCATCAAGTGGCCTTGCACATGGAAGAGGATGGAGAAGGATGGAGATGGTCCAGGAGGGAACCTGGTGCAGAGGACACCAAGGGTTGATGATGATGATGAGGAAGGTTGTTTGCACGTCAGGGAGGATGGAGACGCTCCAGGAGGACGCCTGGTGCTGAGGACATCAAGGGATGATGGTGATGACACCAGGAGAGGGTGGTGCAGGGTGGAAGGAGGTGGTTGGCACGTCAGGAGCACGAGGACACTCCAGGAGGACACCCAGTGCCAAGGAGGGCACGAGATGCAGGGATGTTTTTGGATGTGAAGGATGGAAATGGTCTGAGAAACCAGCTGGTACCAACACCAGGAGATGACACAACACTGGGACTCTTCTGGCAGGTCAAGGGGGATGAAGATGCCCCAAAAGGGTGATCGAGACTGAGGACATCAAGAGTTGACCTCCACCTGAGATGGAGGATCCCAAGAGATGATGGAGGATGGACGGATGCATCCTGCACGTGAAGAAACATGGAGATGCCCTGGGAAGGCACCTGAGATGGAGGACACCAAGAAATGATGGAAGAAGGATGGACAGATTCACTCTGCACGTGAAGAAACATGGAGATGCCCTGGGAAGGCACCTGAGATGGAGGACACCAAGAGATGACGGAAGGTGGATGGATTCATCCTGTACGTGAGGATGCCCCAAGAGGATGATCAAGACTGAGGACCCCAAGAGGTGATGGAAGATGGATGGATGGATTCATCCTGCCCGTGAAGGCATGTGGAGATGCCCTGGGAAACGACCTGAGGACACCTAGAGATGATGCAAGACGGATGGATGGATGGATGGATGGATGGATGCCTCCTGCACGGGAAGAAACGGAGATGCCCTGGGAAGGCATTTGAGACGGAGGACCCCAAGAGACGGACGGACGTTCCTCGAGCCGACACCCAACGAGGAAGCCCCTGAGAAGCCTCCAAACCAAACGAGACGTCCCAAAAATCCGGCCTGGACACCTCCGTCCGCGGAAATCCCACCTGGTGGGGGCCACGCAGCCCCCTCCCCGCCGCCCGCCTGCGCCCCCGGCGGGGCCGCCAGCAGTGGAGCCGCTACTTGCCTGGCAGGTTGTTGATGTAACCCCCGTCCATCAGCAAGTTGCCGTCCTTGGGGTCGCAGAGGGGCGGGAGGTACCCCGAGAGGGTCATGCTGGCTCGCACGTAG